GGTTGTTTTTCCGGGATTCGATCCTAGGTGCTCTCATGCTGAACTAGGCACTCGTTTAACATAGACCTACGGAGGTGGTATATTATTATGATTAGTAATTTTATGATGAATTTGATGTTATTAGTATTTTTATTTTTTTAAATGGCAACATTAAACTTAATACTATAAAACGTTTTGTAAAGTAACCCTGCTAGAACTCGCAGTAGGAAGTGCTAGAACACATCTTTCGTCTAAATTCAATTTCCTCACCTCACCTCACTCCCGTTTGATTTATCCCCTCGGTCACAAGTACAATTCTCGACGAAACGTGTAAGAAATTCAACAACGTACATTCTAGGTAATCGTAAAAGCTACGCTTGGACAATTGTAAACTTTGGAGTTAAAAAAAACAGACAATAAATAATGTCGGTTAATACTGCGAGTATTTCAAAGTTTGCGTAGTGTAGCGAAGTTGTTTCATTCGTATTCCTTGATAGTTTGTGAGCGTTGGGTCGTTTTTTATTGTGCTTAAATGATTGAAATTATATTTTTATAAATTAGAAGTACTACAGTCTATGGTTTACATCAACGTAATAGAGATGGCGTTGTTGAAAGTAGATTTGTAGTTGAGGATACCATTTATTTACCAATGTTAATTCTATCTCAATAAAAAAAGACTACTCTTCTCACTAAGAAAGAAAGAGAAGAGAATATTGATGTAACAAATCTATTAGTACAGTGCGCGAGTAACGTGAGTTGTGGCCGTAGGCTCTAGTCCAGCTAGTGTACACAATATTCTTGCAGTAAAAAATTTAATTTTCGCCATTTATTTCCCATTATTGTGTGGTTCGTAGTATTAGGTATATTACATCATGTTGACAATAATGTCTCAAGACTATTTGTCAATAAAAAAATAACTATATACCCCGCTAAGTACTGTCTGTGTCTGTGCCTTTAACGGTTTAGAACGCGATGTATTTCGATTAAACTTGTTTGAAAATTATTTTTAATTACTGCCCGACGTTTCGGGCTTCGCTCGTCTCCCCGTGACCACGGCTGCTGCAAAGCATCCGAAACGTCAGACCGACGTTAAAAATATTCTTCAAACAAGTTTTACTAAAATATATTATGTTTTAAACCGTTAAAGTGTTTTATTTAAATATATACCCCGATACTTTAATGAGGCGTCTGATTGCGTTGAGCTATTATTCGAAACTTTCGCGTCGAGTCTTAGTTGAAATTTAAAATAAGTTGACTACTATATTTCGCGTTTTAAACAGTTTATTTTAATAAAAAAATTAATGTAGTCTTTACGGTCATTGTTTCTCTCTACGCTCATAGGACAACACGTCTACATTCAAAAATATTTAAAGTAGCTAACATTTTCTATTTTAATAGACATCCAACTCAATATACAACTAGAGTTATGAAAATTTTAATTTTACTTCCAGGAAAATAGTTGACTGTGTTGTCTGTGCCTCGAAACTCGAACCTAGAACCCCTCGCAACGCCAGGCAACACATTTAACTTATCTACACATGCGGTCGATTATGTATTTATTCTGATTTCACTGAAAATGTATTTCAGTATAAAACCGTCAAGTAGTAATTAGTGCGCTATGTACAGTATATCAAAGGTAACTGCGCAATAAAAATCGAGGATCAATTTTATAAGCACCATTCAGTACTCAGACTGGAATCGCTGTGGAGGTCGTTCACCCCATTTTCAGGCTTCAGTTTATATTTGACGTCATTTGTACTCGTTCGGCCTTATTGGTGAAAATTTTCAGTTCCATGCTTATTCTATTGACGGGCTCTTTTGTAATGGTAGTTAATAGACGGGTCGTGGCTTCGATTCCCGCTTGGTCCAACTTATAATCAATTTATAAATTTTCAGACTCGGTCTGAAAATTTATAAATTGATTATTTATCATAAAAAAAACTTATGTATTGGAATTGTAAATTCTACGGCCTCGGTGGTTTAATGGTAGAAAATGACCTATGACATTGTGTAATCAAGGGTTTGATTCCCACTGGATGCAGTGTTTCTTATCAATTTACAATTTCTCCTAATCAAACTAGACTTAAATACGGTCTGTAGTTTACGCGAGTAGTACACATTTAAATAAAACACTCTAAAAACACGATATATTTTAGTTAAACTTATTTTTAACTTCAGCCCGACGTATCGGATGCTTTGCAGCAGCCGTGGTCACGGGGAGATTTAATTTGGAAAATCTAGATGAACATTTAAAAAGTCTACAGGTAAAAAAAGTCGTGAATCCATACTTTGTTTCCAGTCTTTAGATATCTAAATGCCCAACGCTTTTATGACTTCCCCTATCACAAAAAAATGTGGTACGGGTGGGACTCAAACCCACAACCTTGCCTTTTTGTTACTTTACTAAACTAAATACTTACTGTACTAAATAAACTTTAGCTATTCAAATCCTGCTGCAAAAAGTAACTATGAATTAAACATCTAATGATCCATGAGGCATCCAACGTCCCGTGCTGACGCTCTAACCACGGTAGCTAAATTGTTTTTTTAGATCTAAAGTCAATTTTTAATTTATTCCATAGTACCACCTTTAAATCTATTTTAAACGTCGACAAGTCCCATTTCTTGAAAATCTGAAGTTGTATTCTCAAAGGAATTCCCGTTATTTGCGGAAGAAAGCGAGACCGCAGACGGATTTGAACCCGCCCCGTTAAACTCGGATTATTGAGTTAAGGCTCTACGCTATCTGAAGCAGATTTTCGATCGATCAAATTACTGAGGATTCACAGTTTTCTTACATTATTTCAAATAGATTTATCTTTAAGGTGAAAACTTGTCACGTACACGGTAAAGACCGAAAGATAGTGTAATAAATACTTATAACGGTTTAAAACGCGAAAATTATTCGTTATATTCATAAGTAATGCATTACGCGAATTAAACAGTTAAATTTGTTTTGTTTAAATGTGCACTACTCGCGTTAACTAGAGACAGTATTTAACGTAAAACTAAATAGATACATATCCGTATATGTATAGAGATTTATTGGCTGCTTCACATTGTGATAAGTGCGGGAGGGTCTGGGTTCGAATACCCGGGAAACATTGATTATTTCGGTCGATCAGATAAGGGGAGTCATTAACTACTTGCCTGTGGATAAAACCGATCAACAGACTCAGAAACGTGTTCGCCCCATAACGAAAAACGAGATTACACTGTAACAATAATTTGTCACCCTTTAGTACACACATCTAAATATTTATTTATTTAAAACATGTTAAACGGTTTAAGTTCCTGCCTTAAGTAATACTTTGTAGCAGGAGTTTGATTTTCTTACCATACTCTAATATTCAACGCTGATAGTATAATTGAAAATAACAATTCCATGATCCATTTTGTTATATCATCTTATAGTATTAAGTTTATTATTGCTATTTTATTATAATTGTTACCTACTGCTGTAGTTTACGAGTTTTGATTACAGATAAAATACTTTTAACTGTTTTAAACACCGATTATAGTTGGTAGTTAATTTATTTTTAACTTCGATGCCGGGCCATATGATATAGGTTACTAAAATATTTTTTTCACAGAAATATTTATGTATAAACGAAAACACGTATTAAATAGGTGGTAGGAATATCAAATTTCCGTCCGGGTCATACATCGTCCATAGATAAAAAACCCGTGAAATTTTATCGTGTTCCGTCTGTGGTCGCCGCGGTCGTGTTTAGTCTGTGGATTTTCAAATATCCAAAGCCAAAACAGCGCATCGTATTGAGATGTTATACGGTTATCTGTACTCGTCTATCATAAAGACGTGAAACTTAATCGTGTTTAGGTTTTCAGTCTGTGGATTTCAAAATAGGTTGACAGCGCACCTTATTTAGATTAAATAGTAACCTAGTCTGTCCTCCTGAATCGTTAAAACAAAAAGTTGTAGAACGTAAAAGTAAGTTACGCTAGTAGTACGCTTTAGATAACTAATAGATTTCCCGTTTTAAATAGTTAAAAGTGTTATATATAAAAACACGTGTTTATAAGTAAGTTTTTAACCAACGTTTTCCACGAAACCATACGATATATGCAAGTTGAATGGCGTTCACCAATAGCGATACAATTTACTCATCCGAATGTACGCAAATAATGCAGATTTTTATGTGAATTTTCCCACGCGATCTGTGTATCTCCGGCTTTTATTCAACTTTGTTTTATTCCATATATAGGCCAATTTATTTGGGATATTTATTTAATGACTTTAGCCAAGCATAGAACGGATAGTGATTTAGATTTTCTTTTGTTTTACTCACATTAAACTAGACTAACTTCGCTCCCGTAGTTAGTCTAGTTTGAATCCTAAGTTGGTTAAAATGACAGCTCGTTATTTGAATTAATTCGAAGTAAATTTTAAATTAGACGTCTTTTCAATCAGATTGGACACTTGTGTCCAGCCTGTGACCAGTTAGCAAATAGTAATATTTAAATAAAACTCTTTAAACGGTTACTACACGAAATATAAGAGAACTTATTTTAAATACGACCCGACATTTCGGATGCTTTGCAGCAGTTGTGGTCATGGGAGACTGAAGATGAAGAACCCGTTTTCTAAGTTGAAAGTCAAATCAGCTACGCTAGTGCCATCTGTTTTCTCTTAGTTGAAATTTGTTTCTCTAAGTACGTTACAAGCGTAAAAAATTTGTTTGCTGAAGATTGGTGAACTAAAATAGATAATTCTATTTTAATTCACCAATCTCATCTTTCCTCACGCTATAGATATAGAATACTTTCGCCCCAGAGTAAAGCTCCGCATTTTCATAATATTATGTAACCTCCACATTAACGTATCTGTCTCTAAAAACAACTCGCCCAACAAAAATACATTTAAACGGATACAATTATACAAACAATTCATAAACAGACACAGTAAACAACATTGAGTTATGTTTTCTTTCTTCAGGTGGCCGTTATAATGGCGTCATCGGTTCGGAAATAGAGTTTCAGGCCGCTGCCATGGGCACGTAATGGAGGAGGACGAAAGGCGGTTTTCGTTTCCGCCGCCGGCGCCCCTCCATTCGCCCGGGGAAGAGATAGACGGCTCGCGCCTTCTGGGAGAGATAGTGCGCACTCTAGAGGCAACTAATCCGGAGGCCGCTGCACCCCTGGTAGCGTCGCAGTCGAAGGATGCCCTCGACACGGAATGCGAGAAACCGCGCCGGGAGGAACTGCGCATTCCCCTGGACGTCACGTTCTCCGAACCGCCTCCGGGACGCAGCGATGAGCCGCGCGCGGTCGTTACCCCGTTCACGCGGGAGTCAGCCAAGCGGGCTGGCTCCAGAGGTGCCCAGCTCGTCAGAGAGTTCGGGTTCATGCCGCGGCGGAGACTCAGCGTCGAAGACGGGGCGCGACTGCCGCGGAAGTTTGAACCGTTCCCGCCTAAACTGTACGGACGACCGCTGGAGGAGATCGACAATTTTATTTACGATGAGGTAAGTTTTTATTAATATTACTCTATTATCTCTGGCTTGTTTTAAATTTATGGTTGGAGTGTAGACGCGGTCATAAATATTTTGAAACGAATTCAAATGTACCATATGAATAAAGAATAGATATTTTAAACAAGAAACGAAACGATATTCAAAATTCAAATATTGTCTATTCGTCTAAACTACTGTTATTATCTAGTCTATTAATTATTAGAGGATACACCACGAAATTTTAGTTAAAGAACCTATGAAATACCTATACATTAGCTCGAATAAGGGACTTGTCGCTATAATTAAATCCTCTAAGAATTATTTATAGGAATTCTAAATACGTTTTTATTCATAACCCCAGCTACGAATACGAACTTCTAGAAATAGGTGTTACGTTAGAGAAATAACTCACAATATGTGGTTTAGAAGCAGTGTATATTTATAATACCTAGATTATTTATATTTTTTTAGATTTAGATTTGGTATATAAGTGAATATTCAAGACAAATATTGAAACCCTTCTTAATACAAATAACTAAGAACATCAGTATTGAAATCAAAGAATTTATAAAGCTTAATAGCTTGTTACTTTTATTGTAAAGACGGTGTTTTTTATTAGAACCATGTATGAGAAAATAATGAGTACGGGTCACCGTGGTCTCCCCATGACCGAAAATCCATTAAATAACATTTTTTTTTAATTTACGTAAGTGTGGAGATAATAGAAAGAAAGAAGCCGAAACCGAAATATAAATTGAAATGTCACCAGATTCTGATTTCCGGGGTATGCCAAACCTTCGTAAAAAATAATGACACACCCATGACATCATTTAACGAAGATAACCTTGTTACGTCGTGTTGTGTCGTCAATTTAACGTTACAGCACAGTTAGCACCCGTTACTTTGAAATTGCGTGCGATTTCTCTCCTAATGATAACCGATATTAATTATATATATATATATATATATATATATATATATATATATATATATATATAATTTTATAAGTGATTAGGAGAGAATTATATTAATAAATTTGATATGTGCCTTTCGAAGATGTGTCTTCAAAGAGTATTCTCTGCAAATAATAGAATTAAAACGCGAGTTAGCACAACATTTCTAATGAGTTAAAATAATATCCGCGTTTTAAACTGTTAACGTGTTTTATTTAAATAAAAACTAGAAGAAATAAATTTATCGACTACTTAGGCACACAAAAACATATATTAGACTTATTACTAAAACAAAAAACAAAACATAATTTAATCTTTACAGTATAACTTAATATGAACATGATAAAATAATGTTGTGTGCTATAAGTAGGATAGGATCTTACTTAGTTTATATCTGGCTCTTTGTTGACCTGAAACTGATTTTAGAGTGTGGACAGCGGTGCCACACTCAAGTGAAAATATCCGTTTTAATGATAAATTCTATGTACTATACTGTGATATATTCTAACACTAATTAAACGCTTCTAAGTTAAAGGAGTACAATATAAGAAGAGATATCCACAATCCAACATAAAGATATTGGATGAAACGTTGTATCGGCTTTTGTGAATAATATTAACTTAAGCCTCGCGTATTTGAAATGATTAATATTATATACTGTCTATAGTTTACGCGGGTAGTACACATTTAAATAAAACACTTTAACGGTTTAAAACGCGATATCTTAGTTAAACTTATTTGAAAATGATTGAATGACTTCTTTGAAACGACGGGCCGAAGTTAAAAATCATTTTCAAATAAGTTTAACTAATATATCGCGTTTTAAACCGTTAAAGTGTTTTATTTAAATGATTAATATTTTCACGGTAATTTTGGTCTTCAAATTTCGTTTTAACACACCTCCTCATCTGTTACCGAGGACATGGTCTGCGTCCCGTCGTTCTTGCAAGTGAATCTTAAAAGATATACATATACGATCGCGGAGATATTTTTAGATAATTGAAAGATAAATTATTCTTTCAGACCGATGTTTTGGGTATGTATCTTGAACCGTTTTCGCAGCGTATGCATCGGAAACCCACGATGAAGAATAATTTTCTCCGATTATTCCACATTTCTCATTTCTCACTGTTTCTTCGCTTCTATTAGTCGCAGCCTGATGTTTTATAGCCTACAGCCTTCCTCGATAAATATTTTAAGACAAAAATAGTTTTTCACTTCAAACCTGTAGTTTCTGAGAATAACGTGTTCAAACAAACAAACTTTTCAGCCTTATGTATTAGTATAGAAGACTTGACGGTTTTTCTATCTCTAAACATTTATTTACACTTACATTAGGGCAATCTATAAGGCATTGATTAATGAGTGCCTTTTTCCTAACCACTAGCGGAAAGGGTCAGACAGACGGAAATTAACGCCACTCAGGCGCTTATCTGACAGCTTTTACTTGTTGCGCTAAACACAACAGAGACCTGACTGGACTATAGATAGCATCTCCTTTTTATGTTGTTACGATAGCTCAGTTATTAAATAAGCTAACTTTCGTAATTGCAATAGAACGCATTATTTGTACATTGATATACAACTTATGTTTTTTTTGTATCAAGCAAGTCAAATTAGATTGCCATAAAAATGGTTCTTTTGATTTAACCTTAAAGGATGAACATATTCTATAGCGGACCTTTTTTAGTCGCATTTTTTTGGGCGCAGCTTGATTTTCTATAGCTTTCTTCAATTAATGGTCCAAACAACGCAAAAAACAATTCCAATTTGAACCAGTAGTTCCTAAGATTAACGCGTTCAAACAAACAAACTTCTCAGCTTACGTATGCTAAAAATACTGTTACATTATTAATAAATAACACCATAATAATAAAGAAGTATAAGTTTTTAATAAATAAATAATTTTTGACGTTTAAGCGGTAACCATAGCAACCATTAATGACGTCATGTTATGTCAGTCTTCACTTCCGCCTCCTTTGCGACAGTAGAGATCTTTTGTTGTCTATTTGTTAGCGTAAACGATGCAAAACGATTGAGGGAACTTTTATTTATACGTCAGAATGCTCAACTACGGTTTACCTTTATGTTTCCTCTATTTGCGGCTTATCGGGGCCATTTCAAAGGAATGGACATCGTTCGAGTACGAGCGCTTGTGTACATAGATGCAAGTGCGATGTTTCCTTCGATCGGAGTTTTGGCTTCTATCACGTTTTCTGGATTGAATTTAAGCGTTTTATAACCGTTTAAATCGCAAAATACAATGTCCGTTATTTTATTCTTCATGAAAGGAAGCGTTGGTAATTATAGGTGGTTAAAATAAATTAATCTAATTTATTTTGCGTTAAAATGGCAATAGACTGGCCATGTCTGCAGAAAAGAAGATGGTCGTTGAAGCCGACATATACTAGATTGGAGACCACGAGTACTTTGTTCAAGTCATCTGTCCACCTACAGCATGGTGGACAGATGACTTGAAGAAAGTAGCCGGTAGCAAATAGATAAAGCTCAAGAGAGGGCCGAGTGGCATGCTCTGGGAGAGGCCTACGTCCAGCTGTGGACCCAAACGGGCTGATAGTGATGATGATGATTTTGCGTTAAAATAACACATAATATATTTTAAAGAAACAAAACATTAAACATTTTTTTTGATCCAGTTGTAATTAAACGGGTCGTGAATTTGTTGTTCTTAATGCGTCTAATTATTAATGTGTCGCTTTTCTAAAAAATGTTAAGAAAAATTGAAAAAAACTGCATATTAAATAAGTGAAATATTTGAATGTCGTGCAAAGGCCCAATCACGTTTCGACTTAGTGGATTTCAGACCAACAATTTTTTTGGCCGACTCAAAAAGGTCGACAACATATATGCTTTAAGAAGCTATATGAGTAGGGTAATTTATTTCCCAAATGAATCTCATGTTTGTCTGTCCTCTGTCATAAAAACATTAATATCGCTTCGCGTTTGTGGTAAAACACAACAGCTTATAATATCGTAAAGTTCATAAGAAGCCATCAAAAAGTAACATCAGTTTCGGCCCTAAAATAAACTTTTAGAGCACATACTTAGCTTTTATTCCTTCAAACAATTCGAGAGAGGTTTTACGAAAAAAACAGGCAACGTGCGGGTCAAAATTCGGCACGACGGGTTCCGTACCATTTGTAACTTTTTGTGGGTTTTTGAGTGCCTATCTGTTATTAGCGACCCCTCTACACATGCTAGCTGTCCTCTACACATAAAACATTGTAAAAATAACTATGTTTTAAATTCACCCATTCAGGCAATGTGTAAATTGTACAACTGTGTTTTAAAATTGGATCAATCAGATTTATTCGCCAATTCAAATATGTTCAAGAAAAAAGTTTTAGAAATTTTACCATCCATAAATTTTAATTAGTTGTTTTATTTTTTGTTTAATGTCTAATAAATAATAAATAAATAATAAGTAAATAAATAATCTACCTTTATTTGTAGTTTTAATTGTTATGTAAAAATCAGTATAAGTTGCAGTACAGTAGCTGTGTGGGAGTAGGTACTGATTTTCAGCAAGACCTGCGTCTGTTTACACAGTGTACACTTAAACATGTGTACATTTTATTTGTTTTTGAGTGTAAGTGTAGTATTGTATTTCGATAAGAAATACATGGTTTGTGAATTACATTGTCATCGAAAACAGCAGAATAATAGACAAACAATTGACAAACAGCTGAGCCTTATAGAGCCCCATTTTATCCTTTTGTTACGGAATCCTAAAAAACAAATGCGCGCGAACCTACATGACTGGCCGTTACGTGCCCTGAATATTAAGATACTTTCAATTTTCCTCTTTACATACTGTTTTTCTAATAAATTCGGATATTTGAGAAGAAATTCTGTTATTTACAAATCCTTAGAGTGTGGTACGTTGTTTCAATATTAATAATGGCCCAACTGGGCTTTTGACTCCTTTTCATTATAAGGACGGTTAAAAAAAACGGCCAGAACTTAATAATTATACCCGACACAGAATTTGATACTTGGACATCGTAATGTACAGTTCAAAATTATAACTACTGTACAAAAAGGCAGGATAAA